CGAGTTGACCAAATACCTCTGGGACGTCGCGTCCTGTTCAGACTGTAACAGAGTTGAATGCAGCATTGCATCAGGAGTGGCAGCAAATTCCTCAACAGGACATTCAAGGACTGATGAAAAACAGATACTTTGCATTTGGGGCTATAAAGACAATATAATGTACGATCATCCATTTCCTGTTGATTTTTTCACGAATACATATTGTTTTCAACACTAGGTCCCAATATATACATCTCTGTTATCAAGTATGGTTGTGAATTGCATTCATTTGCAAAACAATGGTTCAAAATCTGGTGGCGCTTAACTTTTTGTTCTAGGTATATATATTGCTTGATATTGTGATATCAACATAAACCAGTATCGCCCAGCCCTACTAATATCTAATACGAGCCTAACAACAAATAAACAACTGGACCTGGACAATTTTTGTAGTCAGAAACTATTATTTCCCTTAGTATTTATAATTGTTATATAAATATTTATAATTAAGGTTAATAAATTCAATATTTAAAAAACTTTCTTTGTTTTAATTAAAGAAAATTTTTAGTCATTTTTTATGGCTACTCAAAGGTATTATTTATTGCAAATTTGGTTGCCACAATTTGTTTAAAACATTTCATTCAAAGACAAAACTTTCCAGGCACAAACTCTGGGTTTTACTTTGTTGTAAACATGCAATATGACATCTTGTGATATTCATTCACATACAGATATGATTACAAACATACTCAAAAACAGTCAACCTTACTTACTAGAGCTTATCTCATGCTGATGACACGAGGATTGAGGACTCAGATGCATCACCTCATCAGTACAACTAGGTTTGGAAATTGCAGTTAACTATCCAGATTATCAGAGTGAGAATAATATGTACATTGTAATGTAGGCATAGAGAATAACTGATATAATAAGTAAATTAATTTATTATTAACAAAATATAACAATTATATATATCATATACTTTATGATTTATTGGAATTATGTGCAATAAAACACAATATCTACTTGCTTAATACAACAAAAGCACTTTTCTGACAATTATATATAATTCAAATTCCAATCAACCATCACAGATGTATCATTTGAATCCAACCATTCACAGTAAATGCTTTTAGATGAACCTCAGGTATGTCCTTGACTATAACCAATGTGATCTCACAATCAGTTTCTTCAGTCTTCACATGTTTTGGATATAATTACTATCACCAGGATAAAAGATAGTATTTACTTGATGAAATGTTCTTTTGAACCTGGGCCTCGCTTTTGACTGTGACAAATATTACAGTTAGTCTGAAATAACAATTCAGTCTTCATTTAATAAAATCCTTTCAAATACAGTGTCAAATATGATATTTAACACTATTTCCACAAACCATCAATATTTTTGAGTCAAAATAAATAAAGCAACTACATCATTAATCATCAGAAATGAAACTTACAATATTTGGTGGTAAACAATCTTCATGAAAGGCATGATGACAATAAAACACAGCTAAATTACTGGCATAACGTAGATCTAGAATGAAACAGGATGTTATAATGAATAATAACATACACTATAACTATTGGCCTTTAAAATATGAAGTTATGGACAAAAATCATACATCAATACAATTATAATTGGGTTTTTAATATGTGAACAAAGAATCCATGAAAATTTATGACAGTTAAACAACAACATCCCAACAAGTCCTTGTTCTCAAATTATCTTTCAATTAAAAACTGTCAAGGATAAGAGAAAGGACAGGAAATTACAATATATATCGGGTGTGCCGGTTGCGATTGGTGGTCGACGAAGACAGAGGACACATTGAACACAGGTTGAAATAGGTAAGTTGCCTTAATATTGCATTTTTTGACATGTTTTTTTGTTCAGGGCAGTTCTTGTACAATTTTTATTTGATGACTTTCACATTTTTAGGGTTGGACAACAATATCTTGAAGTATATCTGTGAGAATTTTGTGAGAATTTTAGAGAGATCAGTCTACCAATAGCTGAGATACTGTCAAACTTTGGGATGTTTTTTGGGACCCCCCGATATATACACAACTTACCATTAATAATCAAACTTTGATGACAAATTGGACAAACTGTCGATTCTGTAAAAAAAAAAAGAAGATAAAAACATTAATCAAATACTTTAATCGGAATGATCTACTGATATTTTCTCCTATCTGATGGTATAATAATATCTAGCAAGAAAACTAGTTCTTACCCTCAACAAATACTCCTTTTTTCTGAGTATTGATCAATCTTTCCATTAAATTAAAACTATCAGCTACTAGAATCTTTTTACATCCTTCTCTCAGGGAAATCTGCAATGTATCCATACAAAGACAATTACAATCACAGTAAAATGATGTAAAATCTAATTATTTCAAAAAATATAGAATTGCAAAAAAAAATACAACATTTTGTTACCTGGACCACACAAATATGGTATAAATTGAGTGAGTTATGAATAATAACAAAATGAAGTCCAGTATAGTGATATGAGACATAAACCTAAACCTTTACACAACTATTATGCCTCTTACTGAACCAATGGAAAATTTTGAGCTGTATCTTTGTATCAACTATTCATACTCACTTTTCTCCTGATGATAACAATTTTGGATTGATGTACAGTTTCATTTATTGATTACAGACTGATTCAATTTTTTACCTGTAAATTGTAGTCTTGTAATATCTTGACTAGTGAATCTCGTAATTCTGGAATCTCAATACCTTTTTTGATTCTAGTAATAACTTTTATAGGATCAATGTGAGATCCCACATTCTGTAACAGTGCTGTCATAAAATCTACAAATTAAAGTAGAATGGAATGAATACATATTAATATAGGTCAGAAATAATTTCTAATCTGCTAGAATCTATGTTTATAGAAACTTCAGTAATTAAATAGTACAAATAAATTAGGGCACCTCACCTTCAGGTTCTAATAATAACATTACTGATCTCATTTGTTGATATTGACATGATGCACAACACTTATCCTATAAAGACATACTTACGAGGTTTTGACATGGAATAATCCAATAAATCTTCCCACAATTCTTCATCCATCTGTTCCTTACAGAATTCTATAGCATGATTGACATCTTGTACACGTTCCATTATTAACTGTAATGCTTGTTTTGTATTGCCCATACGACCTGTTATAAATAGAAAATAATATATACTGACAACTGTATAGAATTTTCATTTCAATCTCATCTGATAAACACAGCTAAATATACATCTACATATAAGTAGCCGAGATTTTCTTTTTTGCCATGTTCTTTATATTATGGTAATGAAGAAAAACTTTGTAGTGTGAAATATAAATATTCAGATCCAAACCCAATTTCACAATTTTTTGAAATTACAGGAATATAAAACATATGAAATTGATTGATTGATCAACTTCAGGGTAAGTAACATAATGGGAAATGAATTTACCAAGTAGAAAAACTTGTTCTTTCACAAGATCCCTGGTCTGACATTCATCCATAGCCATCTGTAGTGGGTATGATTGACTCGTTCTTAAAAACGACAATAATTTTGGTTGGTCGAATTCAGCATAAAGTTTGACCATTCTGCCATGATAGGGTTGGGATGCTTGGTTATCTTTCTGTATCAACTGATCTAAATACTGTAAAATACCACAAAGAAAATATTAAAAAGGTGTTTAAATATTTTTTAAGAATTGTACGTTATAACGTATAAGGTATTATGTATTGTAAAAACAAACATAAAGAATAATACTTACAGCATGAAGATGTCTGGGAGTTAAATCTAATTGATGTACAACTTTTTCAACCTATAAAAAAATAACATTACAGTTTATATTATACATTATTTCTGACAGCAATATCTCTGAAGAGGAATACCAGAATGTCTCTTATTATATGTTGCTTTTTAAGAATAAATTCAAAATGACTTACAGCATATTGATGTACGAATGATTTTCAAAATTGCTGAAAGAAAATTAACCAAAGCTAAGATTGTAAAGTTTATACTTACAGGTATTTTATCCATGTTATCCAGTAACATTTTAACAGCCTGATCCTGATCAAAATGCATTAGCTGGACGATCTTGTCATTGATTGAGTCAAATAAATTATGTTTTTTTATCAGCTGGAAAACGTCTTTATGTTGAAGTCTAAAAGAAATCATAGTGAAAGAAGTCTTATGTATCAATGGGTTTAAAGTATTGTTTCTTTTTTTAAATACGATTGATAAAATTCTAAATTTAACAATCAGACACCAATCAGACAGAGTGAAGCTCTAGTACACAAATGATAATAAACAAATTGCCAATATGCTCACTTTATGAATTTGAAACTATCTTGAAACTTTTTATGTGATAAACCCAGGCCATCAACATCCCTGATTGAAATATACAAAAACACTTACTTTAAATAAATTGATAAAGCTTTGTCAAAAGTCTTGTTAAAACAGCATTCTCTATTGTTTCTAGGTTATATAGATCTTGAGGCCATTCCTTTATCAACTTATAAAATACCTGAATAAAATATATAATATATATACTACTACCTACATTTTATACAATATCTACATACAATAACATTACAGTACAATAACAGTTACCAGTATGAAATATTCAACTTTTAGTCAATGACTCGTAAAAACTCTAGAAGGCCCAATTATTGACATATTTTGATGAAACTTGGTAATATTATTCAGTATCGCACCAAAAAGTTCAAAAGAAGAGTATGACTGAAGGTTGCATATTCATCCTTGGGTGATTACAATACTCATACCAAGTTTAGTCAAAATCTGGCATATATTGGGCCTTTTAGAGTGTTTAAGAGCTAAAAATTAAACGTGTTTTCAAGAACAAGGACAATAACTCATACTGCAGTACATATTTTTCGATTTTTCTGACTTTCAGTAAGGTTCATCCTTTGAAACACTTACACCAAGTTTCGTCAAAATCTGTCAATAATTCAACCTTCTAGAGTGTTTACTAGCATTTTCAAGAACAAAGGTAATAACCCATACTTAATATTTTTCAATTCTTCTGATTTTCTAAAGAGTTCATTCTTGGGTGATTACAAACACTCACACTAAGTTTCATCTAAATCTGTCAAGAATTGTGCCTTCTAGAGTGTTTACGTGCAATTGTGGATGCCCGTCAGATGGATGACGCTAATATAAGTCCCCCATTTTATTTATTTAAGCTAAATTGGCAATGTCAAGAATGGAATTATTGTGCTCTTTCCTGCTGTTCAAAACTGCGTACATGTGTATGGTCTATTTCAAGTTGTCAAGATGGCACTAATGTACAAGGTTCATACACATTGAGACATAGTGGAGTAAGAAATTAAATATGTTCATGGGAATTGGGAAGTATATTTGACTATGCTAAGAAAATAAATCAGATACATAAGTCCAAATTCAAGTCTTACTTCACTGACATTATTATAATGGAAAGACAAACATCACATACAGCAGTAGCATACAATTCATACATACCTCATAATCTGTTTGAAGAAATTCATTTAAAACCATTTCATAGATAGCAGGAGATAATTTAGGATCACCTCGTGGTAAATAGGGAGCAATAGCCTGTAATTATACTAACATGTATATAACTTTGCAAATACTCAATCAATATCAATCATAAGCCTGATATTAAGGGAATGGTCATATTTACCAGAACTAATGGAGATATTTACCAATGTAATTTCATATCAAAATAGAATTACAGCAAATCTCGATTCACAATTCAAACATACATAAAAATCTGTCCTTTCACCTCAAAACACTTTACCAATGTCTTTTGTCTTTTTGTAAAAACAATTTTCATAACAGAAATGTGAAGCTCATTAGATATATTGATTTCTGTTTTCAAAAACTGCTTCAAGTGAAAAGTCATAAGATTGAAAGTCACATACAAAGGCTGTAATATATTTGATGATATTATTAAACCTACCTTTAGCTGTTTTATTTTCGCAAATTTATAAACCTGATCTTCCCACAAATCTTTTTTCTTCCCCAATATTTTAATACATAACACACCAGCTTCATCATATTGTTCTTCTTCTAGTAAATAATGAAGATATTCCTGTCCTATACCCTGTAGAGAAAAAACTTTCATATTAACAGATAATTCATTTTTGTTGAATATAAAAAATGCATACATGCATTGTTTATATTAAAGATGACTGGAATTGGTAATTTATTATGATCACTACATTTTGAGTAATTTCTACTGAAATAACTGGCATAGTTCTTTAAAAAAAAAACTTAAAATGATTAGGCAGCCAATATCCCTTAAACTTTGCATGGTATAATTTATATTTTGAAACTAACAGAGTAAGAGAATACCTGATAAGTGTGTTTCTTTAATTCTTTTTCATGTTGGGTTGCTGCTGCCATTGCTTCCTATAAAATCAAAATCAATAATATATTATATATTATATTTACTTATTATAAAACATATTATACATACATCATACAAACACTATAAAAACTCATAACAAAATATTTACACATTCCTACAAAAAAAAAAAAATTAGCAATTCCTCCAGTCTCTAATATAAACAATGTATTCTTAAAATTATGGCAATATATTAAGACTGTGCTAGCCTTGTGACTGAAGTGTCATTTTGTGATACCATTTCTTTAAGTAAAAACTTTTCCTGTAAAATATATATTTTTGATGATTCAGTATAAAAATAACTATGCCCAATAGCACGAAAAACTTACCTCAAACATTTCGTGTTCCAGAAGCCATGTTATATTATCATCTAAATCTCGTAACTTAGCAACAACAATATCTTTAGGACTGAGTATATAAAATAAGTTTTCTTCTGGGATACATTCTACAACAGTTCAAATAAAAATATAATGAGTACAATTTTATCCAGTTGTATAACGTAGAATCATTACAGATTATAACAGAAGACATAAATATGCAAATCGTAAAAAGCTACAAACCTAAATTATAGTCATTACACCGATATTCAGTAAAACCTCGTATTGATAGAGCATCATTAGATATTTCTTCATAATATTCCATATGAGGTTCTAGAATTTGTAGATGAGGACGAGCAGCTACAGCTCTGCCTCCCTATATAATACAACAAACACATCAAATTAGATATCATTTTATGACAAGGCTAATATATTTCCTGTTTTTCAGAAGTAAACAAATTTTATAATACATGTCTTCAGCATTCAAAATTCTTAGTAATATAGTAATAGTATACATGTTCTTTACTCAAGTCAAGCTAGCTGTAACATTATTTACAAGGCCAGTAGTCACAGGATTTAATTCTTTCTTTCACAAATAATCCACAAATATGATAATTGGAACACAGATTCCCTTAAATCAACAAACCTACCTCTTCTTGTTGTGACTCCTTTTCGTATGTTAAAACAACAATATTATCTTCTAGTGGAGCGATACCACAAATATAAAACTCTGTAGTAAACATACACACTGTAAATAAACATGTTATAATAACTATAATATTATCTTCTAGTGGAGCGATACCACAAATATAAAACTCTGTAGTAAACATACACACTGTAAATAAACATGTTATAATAACTATAATATTATCTTCTAGTAGAGCGATACCACAAATATAAAACTCTGTAGTAAACATACACACTGTAAATAAACATGTTATAATAACTATAATATTATCTTCTAGTGGAGCGATACCACAAATATAAAACTCTGTAGTAAACATACACACTGTAAATAAACATGTTATAATAACTATAATATTATCTTCTAGTGGAGCGATACCACAAATATAAAACTCTGTAGTAAACATACACACTGTAAATAAACATGTTATAATAACTATAATATTATCTTCTAGTGGAGCGATACCACAAATATAAAACTCTGTAGTAAACATACACACTGTAAATAAACATGTTATAATAACTATAATATTATCTTCTAGTGGAGCAATACCACAAATATAAAACTCTGTAGTAAACATACACACTGTAAATAAACATGTTATAATAACTATAATATTATCTTCTAGTGGAGCGATACCACAAATATAAAACTCTGTAGTAAACATACACACTGTAAATAAACATGTTATAATAACTATAATATTATCTTCTAGTGGAGCGATACCACAAATATAAAACTCTGTAGTAAACATACACACTGTAAATAAACATGTTATAATAACTATAATACTAGAACCACTCGTGGTACTGAGTGGGACTTTGCTCTTGTGCCAATTTGCTAGAGAATCTGAAAAAATCAACGTTCTTGGCCAATTAGATCACTTGCTAAAGCAGTTAAAAATTTTGAAAATTTCGCTTTTTTGGAAGGTTGTTAAAGCGGAAGTTGAAGCCAGACATAAAATATGAAAGTATGATTAGATTTCCAAGGTCAATGACCTTTGACCATGTTAAGGGGAAGGTCATTTAAGGTCAACGTCACTAGATATGAGTCATCAAACTTTGAAAATACAAACATTATAAAACCGGAAGTTGACGATGAACATCAAATATGAAGGAATAAATCTTTAGCCAAGGTCAATGACCTTCAATCCTACAAAGGTCAAGGTCATCAATAGTAAAGGTCAAAAGTTGAAAACATGCAGAATTTAAACCCTGTTCCTTTTTTTGAACTACGAAGCGGAAACAACTGACCTTTTCACACAAAATGGCCAAAGGGGTGAGGTAATTGTGTGCAAGGTCTTGTTTTGAACAAATGTATGTTATACAAGATATACCCCTGATAAAAATGTAAATAATAAGTAATTTAAGCCTAATGTGCGACGCCCACCTCAACTTTTTTGTCATACATCAATTCATATTTAATATGTCTCGTTGTGTTCCAAATTCCAAGCTTTTACAGCAAATAGGTCATAAGAAATACATAGAACTAGCTTAAAGAAGATAACATATTGTAAAAAAACACCGAAATTTCAAAATTTCATAAATTTCGATTTTGCATTATATATCACTGGAAAGAGCACGATGAGCACATTCAGAATCCACAAAAATTTACCCTCAAAGTTAATTAGGTCACGAGCTAGAGCAGTCCAAATTTGCGAATTTGGATGTTTTTGGACAGCTATAAAAGCGGAAGTAGACATCAGAGGTCAAATATGAAAGCATAAACTAATAAACAAGGTCAATGACCTTTGACCCAATAAAGGTCAAGGTCATCAAAGGTCAAGGTCAAAAATTGAAAATTGTGAATTTCCGAAACATGTTCCTTTTTTTGAAATATGAAGCTGAACTAAATGACCTTCTAAGACAAAGTGGCTCAAAGGATGACGTAATTGTGAGCAAAGTTCCATTTTGAACAAATGTATTCTTTGCCAGTTATCCCTTTGGCCAAAAATGTCAATAATGAATAATTTAACCCGGATGTGCCACGCCCATCTCAATTTTTTTTTGCATAGGTTAATTGATATTCAAATTGTGATGCTATGTTCAAAATGTCAAGCTTCTACATCATGCAGGTCAAAAAATATAGGTCAACAAAAGTCAAAAAAGGTCAAAATCGAAAATTGAAAATATGGAAACTATATGGAACTATAAAGCTGAAATAACTGAGTTGTTAACACAAACTAGCCAAAAGGATGAGGTAATTGTGTACAAAGTCCCTTTTTGAACAAATGTATCCTATGCGAGATATGCCCCTTCCTCTAAATGTAAACAATTAGAAACTCAACCCGGATGTGCCACGCCCACCTCAACTTTTTTATCATAAGTGAATTCATATTCAACATGTCTAGTTGTGTTCCAAATATCAAGGTTCTACATCAAGTAGATCATAAGATATACTTACACCAAGATCAAAGAGACATAAATATGGTAAAAAACCACTCGAATTTGAAAAAATCAAGAATTTCAATTTTTCTTTAAAAGTAATTATATCACTGCAAAAAGCATGGGAAGCACATTAAGAATCCGAAAAAATTGACCCTTTAGGTTATTTAGGTCATATGCTAGAGCAGTCCAAAGTTGCGAATTTGGCTGTTTTCAGAACGCTATAAAACCGGAAGTACAGGTCGGAGGTCAAATGTCAAAGTATCAACTGATCAAAAGTCAAGGTCACGAGATAGAACTTGCAAAAACTTCAACCGGAAGTTGCAAAAAATGAAAAAACGAAATTCAAAAATCGGCTTCCTAGTTTTTGTTGGCAATCGATTGTAGATTACATACACATCAAAATTATACACGCCCATTTCTTCATAGAGGCCCCATTTTTCGATTTACAAAAGTGTGTTTTTTCAATATGGCGACCAAAGTATCACTTCTGGTCTGGATTTTTTTTCCTTCGTTTTTTTGTAATAGCATTTACTTACGAACAGCATAAATTTCGTTGACCTATTTCAATTACACCGGAAGTTATTCGACCGGAAGTGGATTGTACTTTCAATTGATTCCCCGTTTAAAACCGGAAGTAAAGGTAAATATTTCACAACTACATATTATTTACTTTAGTGATACCCCTTTGCATATTAAATTTCAGATCAATCGATACAAAAACAAAAAAGTTGCAAAAAAATTGCAAAATTTGATTGAAAAAAGTCAGCGACAAATTTTCGAATTTCGTAATTCTGCAAGTGCTATCAGATCAGAAATTACAGACACGTTCTAAAAATGAAAGTCCGCAGAAAATCGACGCAAAAATACTCCTTCTAGAGCCGATTTTCGACTTTTTACACATGTTAAACTGTGGCACTTCCGGTTTTGCAAAAATCTTCCAATTTATACTTATGCACATCGTCGCCTATATAGAAGGTCTATGATAGTTGAATGGTTGCTGGAACTACTGTAGTCTTAGCTCAGGAAGGTGTGTAAATTTCGAAAAACTAGAGCCACACGTGGCACAGAGTGGGACTTTGCAAATGTAGCAAATTGCAAAAGACCCTGAAAAAATCAACCTTCCACGATAATTAGATCATGTGCAAGAACAGTCTAAAGTTGAGAAATTTTCATTTTTTAGAAGACTCTAATACCTGAAGTAGACGTCAGACCTCACAAATGAAAGTATCAGCAGATAGCCAAGGTCAATGACCTTTGATCTTGTAAAGGAGAAGGTCTAAAAAGGTCAAGATCAAGAGATATATGTCATCAAAATTTCTAATTGCACACGACTATAAAACCGGAAGCTGACATAGGACAGCAAATATAAAAGTATAAATAGATAGCCAATGCCAATGACGTTTGATCCTACAAAGGTCAAGGTCAACAAAGGTCAAGGTCAAAATTTGAAAATTTTGAATTTCCAAAACCTGTTCCTTTTTTTTAACTATGAAGCGGAAACAACCGAACTTCTAAGACAAAGTGGCTCAAAACATGAGCCACGCCCACCTTTTTTCATAGGGTAATTGATATTTCAAATGTTATGTTGTGTTTTAAATTTCAAGCTTCTACATTATTCAGGTCAAAAGATATAGGTCAACAAATGTCAACAAAGGTCAAAATCGAAAAATGAAAATATCCAAATGTTAAAACCCGTTCCTTTTTTGGAACTATAAAGCTGAAACAACTGAGCTGTTAACACAAACTGGCCAAAAGGATGAGGTAATTTTGTGCAAAGTCCCTTTTTTAACAAACGTATCCTATGCGAGTTATGCCCCTGCCTCTAAATGTAAACAATTAGTAATTCAACCCGGATGTGCCATGCCCACCCCAATTTTTTTGTTATAGGTGAATTCATATTCAAAGTGTCTAGTTATATTCCAAATATCAAGGTTCTACATAAAATAGATCATAAGATATACATACACCAAGATCAAAAAGACACAAATATGGTAAAACAAAACTCAAATTTGAAAAGATCACGAATTTCAATTTTGCTTTAAAAAAGCAATTGTTCTATATCTATGTAAAGTGCATGAGAAGCACATTAGGAAACCGAAAAAATTAACCCTCTAGGTTAATTAGGTCACGTGCTAGAGCAGTCCAAAGTTGCGAATTTGGCTTTTTACGGATAGCTATAAAAAGTATCAAATGATAGCCAAGGTCAATGACCTTTGACCCTATAGATGTCAAGGTTATCAAAGGTCAAGGTCACGAGATAGAACTTGCAAAAACTTCAACCGGAAGTTGCAAAAAAGGAAAAGCGAAATTCAAAAATCGGCTTCCTAGTTTTTGTTGGCAATCGATCGTAGATTACATACACATCAAAATTATACATTAAAAATTAATTTAAAAAAGTGAGCGACGAATTTTCAAATTTCGTAATTTTTCAAGTGCTATCAGGTCAGAAATTACAGGTAGATTGTAAAAATGAAAACCCGAAGAAAATCGATGCAAAAATACGCCTTCTAGAGCCGATTTTCGACTTTTTGAACATGTTGAACTGTGGCACTTCCGGTTTTGCAAAAATGTTCCAATATATATTTAAGGAACACGTTGCCACTACAGAAGGTCTAGAGAAGTTGAATGGTTGCTGCAACTACTGTAATCTAAGCTCAGGAAGGTGTGTAACTTTCGAAAAAAAAAAGAAAAAAGAAAAAAAAAAGAATTGACATTTCGATAACAAACTGGGACTTTGCTGAAAGCGGAGCGATAGTAAACATACACACTGTAAATAAACATGTTATAATAACTATAATATTATCTTCTAGTGGAGCAATACCACAAATATAAAACTCTGTAGTAAACATACACACTGTAAATAAACATGTTATAATAACTATAATATTATCTTCTAGTGGAGCGATACCACAAATATAAAACTCTGTAGTAAACATACACACTGTAAATAAACATGTTATAATAACTATAATATTATCTTCTAGTGGAGCGATACCACAAATATAAAACTCTGTAGTAAACATACACACTGTAAATAAACATGTTATAATAACTATAATATTATCTTCTAGTGGAGCGATACCACAAATATAAAACTCTGTAGTAAACATACACACTGTAAATAAACATGTTATAATAACTATAATATTATCTTCTAGTGGAGCGATACCACAAATATAAAACTCTGTAGTAAACATACACACTGTAAATAAACATGTTATAATAACTATAATATTATCTTCTAGTGGAGCAATACCACAAATATAAAACTCTGTACTAAACATACACACTGTAAATAAAATATGTCTGTCTATATCAAGAAATGAAATATTGGAAAACTTACCAATTTCAACATATCTGGTTGGTAATTCTCTGGCATCTTTCTTAACTTGGTCTCTTACTACACATATCTGTAAAAAATGAAGAAGGGACATTAAATATAGTAAACTAGGGTATGACTTCAAGGCCAGGTCACCATTTCACTACTATTCTATACTTATGCAAAAGGTAATTATTTACTTACGTCTATTTCACTAAAACATGCGTAAGTATTAAGTTAAAAAAATGTAGCGTAAAAATGTGTGAAATAAATTCAATAAATGATGGCGTACATGTCACATATATGTTGTCTTTCACTGTCACTTTTGTCAAAATTGCATTAGTCGAAAGAAAACATCAACTGGTTCAATGATGATATCCTTGAGTGATTAGCGGCAGCAAAACCAAAGAAGAAGCGTGGTCGATGGAAATTGGAAGATAAGTAGGCCAAATAAAATATTTAATTGAAGACTTCTAAAGTCAATCTTGCTTTGTTAAACTTAATCTTTATGATTGTCCATAAAAACAATTTTGAAATTATTTAATAAAAGACACGTGATTTATTATGCGTATCTAAATCAAATTTTCAGCCTTTTTTTAACAGAAGTTCAGACAATAGGTAGCGTAAAAAGGTAATTACACCTGCTTTTAGTTGACGTAGGATTTAGGCCACATATTTATATAAGTTAAAACTTATTTTATTAATGTATTAAGTAAAAACTTACATTTTTCTTGGTGAAATGTAAATTTTATCTACTTATATTATGCTTCACAAATGATACATGGCTCACTTTCTATTATTCCAAACTTTATGACAAAAAGAAACTTAATGTATCAATATTTTGATTGTTGCAAGGCTGATAGTTTTTTAGACATGGTAAACTGTAGATTTACCTTAATCCTATCTCCCCATCCAATAAGAAGAGTTCTATCATCTTTCCAAAATAAATGACAACCAAACATTTCTGGACGATAACTGGAATATAATATTATATAAATATAATTAGTTCTATTATAATACATGTATACTATAAGAGAAAGTCTTGACCTTGGAGTATAGATTAATGACGTCATGCCATCTCCAGTCAATCTATACTCCTAGGTCTTGACCATGTGCAGGTTTTTTGGTGTAAAATAAAAAACTACCAAAGTAACATAATATTAACTCTTTTTGGTATCTGACAAAGGTATGTCAAAGTTACGCACAAGTTTGTAATCAAATGCAAGAGTGTGACTGCATGTAAATTGCAAAACAACTAAAGAAGGACTTACTCATGATCCTTGGTAATGTGTGTTATTCTGGATTTACTACTCATATCATACACTTTTACACCCTATAAATAAAATATGCCATGTGCAACTATCAAGTGAACAAGACAACTTTCAATTTTTAATATGGTACATACTATATAACAGTATTTTTCTCTTGCTTATATTGTGATTCTGATAGGTTAACATGAATCATGTATTTAAAACAACAGAGATAATCTGACTCTTAGGTAATCCACATTATAATTCTAATACCTGTTCATTAGACCAAGCTATAAAATCTGACTTCCATTTAATATTTCTAATAGGTCCTTCTCCTTGATGCAATATATAGGTTTTATGTCGATTCAAAAACCCCTTCTCATTCATAATCAGCTGAAATAATATAAAATGATTTTACCCTTCTAATAGACTCGTAGAAAATGACTAACCATAGAGTAATTAGAGATATCAATTGTTAATGTTATATTCGAGCTCATCTCATGCTACTAGAATTAAGATTAACTATCTGTGTAGAACTATGGGCATATGAGCATAATAGCTCATTATAGATTAACAAAAATATTTATAAAAAATCATTATAAAGACTCTTCTCTAATTGACTTAAAATTATCTCATGGTACCACGAAAGCCAGGGTTCGATGTTTATTTCATATTTCATTAACTTGGGACATTTGTAATGATGAATTACTGGACTAAGAGTTTATTATTTCAATGAATTCAAATATTTTAATAGAAGTTCTAAAAATAACTTACCTTTTCATCTCCTGTGACAAAATGTCTCCCACGACCTGATTTAAAAAAGAAAGGATCTAATGCCACAGCCTTTACAGGACGATCTAAAGCCAATGATTGGTTGTTATCTGCTGTATATAAGCCTGTAATTGTCACCTGTAAGATCAAATATTTTGATACAAAATGTTGAAGTGCAATTCATAGTGTATATCGATTGATAGAAACAATATAATACATATTATAATAATTATAATGTTATCATGGTTACAATTTTCCTTTTTGATGATGTAAATAGTTGTTTGCCATTATTTTAGAAATAATATGAGAAAGTGTAAACCTACCCTGCCATCATCAGAACAACTAGCTATATAATCACCACGATCATCTATACTTATCTGGTTCACTGTAGTTGTATGCTGTAAAAACATAATATAATAATAGACCTTATGTCAAATAATTTCATTTATTCTACCTTTGAAATTTTTATTTGATTATTGCATGCTGTCAAAACACACAAGATTTTTTATTATATTGTATGAAAAAGGTTTTAATCTTCCCTTGCTCACCAAACAATTGCATATCATTAACAAAAAGAAAGGCCAGGTTGGTAAAACTACAAGAAAATGTCAAAAATAACAGGAATAAATCAGTGGTCTTTTGATTGATGCCAAAATACAATGAAGATAGCCTTGCGAAGCAAGGTGACATATGCCCACCAGTATCTTTGATTGCAAGTACAAATAAAAATTAAAAGAATCCATAAAGAATTGTAGCCTGTAGAGTGAGCACAAGCTAATAGAATGAAACCGTAAGTCTGATACGATATTTTAGTAAAAAATTATCAGATCATGACGAAAATCGATAGGAATCATCTTCATAATGACATTGAACCACAAAATAAATATCAAGAAATCTGTAAAGAATTGTAGCTCGCAGAGTGAGCATTTGGGCGTATAAAAATGTGTACTTACTGCTTGAACTTCTTTTCCTTTTACATTATTACCAATATGATCTAATATATGTATCATACCCCAGTGAGTACCCAGAGCTAGAAACTTTAATGTAAAACAAAGTTTATACTGGCCATACTTGAGATACCAATTTGCAGTCAGATTAGTAAACTTTAGGTCATAAGTTAAACAAATTATCATTGAAATTAAAAAACCTCAAAACAAAGAATAACTAAGAATAATTCAAAATATACTGAAATAATTATGACTTTTTAGATAACTTTCAGATGATATAAAATACATACTTTGGGGTGGACAGAGAGACAACTGGCAGCATCTTTGCTGAGTATATTGTTGACATCATTGGATATTCTTTCATATTTTAATTTGGGTTCCACCTCCTACAATGATATCCATAACAATATTTGGCTTGACTATTTGTTTTCTATGTAGATAGGATTTGGGGTTTCTATGGATGTGGATAAAAGCCACAAAGTTAAATTTTTCAATTAATTTTCAGGACTTTTAAATATTTTAAATTTTTTAGAAACGATCACCTATTTCGAAAGTTTTTTTTTTAACAAACTAAATTTGACCTATCTATACTTTCACCCTTGCTCTTTATTAAGTGTATATTAAGCAGACATCATCATTTAAACTTAGAATCTTTATAGAATGTTTTTGCTAATAAGAATGTTTTTATCATCTCTTATATATTTAGCCTTGTCTTCCAAAAGAAGTAGGCTACTAACGTGTGATTCATCTGAACTTGCATCATCATCATCATCACCATCATCATCATCATCTTCTTTTTCATCCTCACCATCTTCTTTTTCTCCATCTGAAGTATCATCATCTTCCACTTCCTTCTTCTTTGTCTGAAGGTTATTCAAATTGATTTAGGCAAGGGTTTGTCTCAGACATTAGTCATAACTTAAAACACTGCTAGCATTAGTAGCATCGATAGGCCCACAATATGAATTTTTTCTACCTGAACAATTCTTATTCAATTTGCTAAGCAATTTTGGTCTAAATTCCGATGACAATGGCACTCAATTCATCAGAAATGTCACCACTCTGGTCGTAGACTGAATAATCTTATTAGAAAGACACAGTCACAGTGACAACAGGCTATTTTATTTTCAAAGTAAATTTACAAGCATACTCCAAATAGAAATTTTCTGGAGATATCAGTTAAAGTGACAAGTCAAATAATACTTCGATAATAAAATTTTATGCAGGTAAATTACAGCCTGCAAATGAAACAAATTCATTTCAAGATTTTTTAATGTGAATTTCCTGGAACAAGCAAAGTGTTTACCAATTCATCATTATTGGAAGCCATTTTGTCTAATGATGTCACATGACATATAGTTCTGTTGCCAGATTATAATGTTGAAAAAGCTGTACTGCCAGAACTCAACGTATTTACCTTACCTTTTTAGGAAAATAATGATCCATTTGTGCAAAATAATCTTGTTCGTTTTGAGGTTCTGAATTTCTCCTACTTATAGGTCTACTCTTGGGCGTGTATTCAAAATTCTAAAATAAATGAAAATCCTAAAAATCAGAAGGAATATCACATTATATTGTTTGATTCATTCCAATGTTTTTTTTTAATTCAATGACGTCAAAACTTGATTGTATACATTGTGCAACATTGTCATAACTTAAAAAAAAAAAGATAAACAAATAAAATAAATTATTTTTGCACCGGGGAATTCCTACCATTATTCATGACCTGGAAAAAACTGGGGAATACCTTCTGTTACTAAATATAACATTTATTCTGCGTGGTGGCCATTGAATTCTTTTGTTTGGTTGAATGTCGCCAGGTTTAGAGAGAAGAGAGGAGGGACCCTGTTAATATTTATTATATGACGCTCTCATCATTAACATAATTTATTACAAATATACTCCGGCTTGAATGGAATCGGAAAATCAGGCACTCTGACAATCGAAGACTCATCGAACATCATCTAACATTAGTTATTTCTTCTGTAAATTTTGTATCAAGTTTTGGAGGTCGTTTTTACGAATTTTCTGTCATTTGTAGGTGAGTGTTATTTTTATTTTTATTTTTATTGTGTAAAAATAGAATCGAGGTGTTTAACATAATTTATCTATCAAATGTCAAACGTTGGATTTTATAATCTTAAGACTTCTGCCTGACCTAAATTATGGAATTTGCTTCCATGTTGGAAAAATACGTCAATATTTTGTAGTCCGAACTTGAGCAATGCATATAAACAATGGCTTTCTGTGCTATGTTTGAATATTTTCATTTGAAATATTGGGAATTGCCTCCGTTATAATTTTGACATAATTATGAAATTAGCCATGTGCTTTTGAAAATTTGACAGCTGGGCCATTAACATAATAAATATTTCATTAGAATTATAATTTAAGGTATAGAGGAATAAAGAATGAATGAAATGCTCTGAAATGGGCAGGACAAAGAATGAATTAATTTATTATGTTGAATATTTTCCCAGTTTTTGATTGTGATGAAACTAAATCACTAATTGTTTAGCTCTGAGCTGAAATTTAAAATACTTCAAAATGTATTTTTATAGAAAAAAAGTCTTTCTCTATTTAGGCTGATCTTCACTTTCAATGAGATATAATAAATTTATGATACTCACTAAATCCATGATATTGAAATGAAAACAATAAATGACTATTTTGTGAGAAAGCCAGTTTGTGAATCCATACCTTTGCACTGACATTTTGTAAGTTTGGAGAAGCCATACCTTTAAAATGCATTTGATACAATGTGTAAACATTATTTCATATGAACAATATTGAAGAAGGGTATTTTAAAAACAGTTATTGCATAATATATATTGAAAAATTAATATTTATACAATGTTATACAACTAACATGTTTATATTGATACCTGGTGTATATTATAATGTATGATTATCATAATATAACACATTTATGTATAATTATTAAATGTGTTATGATATTGATAGAGAAAATATAGGTCTATAATTGAATGTATATTGTGTGATATTGAACCATCATAATGATAACCAATACTAATTACAGTTAAATGATAGAAATACAATATTGATACAATTAAATACAATATATAACTATAAGAATACTCTCAAGTATAATATATATAGATATATCATTAAATTATTTTTTAAAAAAATGGTTTTATTGATATCTTGATAAATAAATAAATATAAATTTGGATAGAGGATCAATTCAGCTCTAGTGGTACTGGAATTTATTAATGGAAACCAACAATGCCATACAATTTGCAATGATTTTTGCAGCAGATGCAGAAGAATTTCTTTGGAGTATTGGGGGATCTTTAACATTTAAAAAAGTGTAGCACTCAGGACCTCATAGATGTGATGTTAATATGTTATTTCATATTATCTGTTTATGGGGTTGTTTTTAAGTTTTTTTGGATTGAAAGTTTTTTTGAGTTTCTTTTCATTTATTTGTTTTTAAATTCCATCTTCAAGAAGTTTAGAAGCCTAAAAATTTCCAACAAGTTGTTGAGTTAAATTGTGTTAGTTGTAGCGTTCAGAGTTCATGATATTGATATATAAAGAGTGTTAATAAATTCAATGAATAATACATCAAACCATTCTATTCAAACCAATTAAGCGAATCAAAGACATACTGATATCTCCATGGTAACCAATTGCTGGAAACTCAGTCGTTATTGATCCAAGATTAAAATGAGAGGTAATAGAATTGGTTGGTTCATGTTGGAATATTTGTACAGTGTCAGTTACCATATTTGACACCTGTTTGATAAAGAGATGTGGCCAATTTTGTCAAATTAAAAAGTGAGCAATGTTTTTGATGATGCTTTTGTAAAAAACTTTTTGACTTGTTATAATAATTCTGAAACCTTCAGGCAATTTGGTGGGGGAAACTTTGTAATACAAAAGAACGGTACAGAGTTGGACATAAGAACTCTTTCCGATGAATGACAATGCTATATGGAATATCATTTACAAATGTACCAGATTGATTAGAAATGAAGTTCAGGTCAACTTGCTGCTGTGTTGATTATGTTTTATCCCATTTTAGTTTTTATTTTTGAAGATAGATTGAGTATTTTATTAACAATGTCGGAAAATTATCAGAATATAAAGGTCAGCAAGATTTTGTTGATAAGACAAAAGACAAAGCCTTATTCTGAAGCTGAAGTTGTTTTAAAATAAAAATATCTAAAAGTTTCAAACCTTTAAAAGTTGCCAGTAGCAACACCATAATTGTCCCATTCTTGTGAAAATTTCTATTTTGTTCTATAGATTTTAATAAATTCTAGTTAATTTCAGTTGAATAATTTCTAGGTTAATGGTTTAGAATGCCTTATTGCCCACAAGCTGGTGTCTGACTCAGTCAAAATGATAGAATTTTTATCATTTTGTTTCAACATTGGTTAATCAAGTGAATCCATTGTCTTGAAGATCTCATCTAAAAATGGATCAGAATGAAATTCCACTATTTGTCTATTTGTCCATGATCAAATATAGCCTTTCGTCAGGAAAGCTAAAGGCATTTTAAGCCAACCAAGATCAGATTAAAATATTGTTGAATACCAATGTTTAATACATAGAGCTGGATAGAATTATAATTGTATGGTATAGATCATTATAATATAGTCTATTTATAAAACATTATCATTGGATATTTCAAATTATGTACATATTCATTATACAGACTTGATAGCCTACCATTTTTTAAAATCAATATCAAATTTAGCCTATCAGTACTGGACTGGAATTGTGTCTTATTTTTATCCAATATTGAAATAAGAAAATCAATTTTTAATGAAAGGTTGGTTGAAAGGTTATTAACTTTATAGACTTTTTAAAGCCAATTTGCATATTTATATATTAGAATTAATAGCCCACAAGAAAAACTAGAAAATAATCTGAAAGACCATCAGATACAGTCATATTGAATCTGTACCAAGATTATAATGATATAATAGTTTTAGTCCTGCTTTTTTTTGGTGGTTTTAATGTTATAATATTATATTTAGAAACTCTTTCTAATATTGCCTTGAACATAAATGAAACTTCACTAAACCAATCTATGAAAGCATAGTATTACTCTCACTTGAATAAATGAGAATTTAAATAAGTGCTACTGAAAATCAATCAATTGAATTATTACATTACTAAAAGCCTTGTATGTCATCAACTATGTATTTTATATCATTAAAGGAGTAAAACTGGATAGAATTTTGATAGAATAATTCTATTTGTGTGTATATGTTCTGAGAAACTCCATCAAACATACCTAGTTCTCTCTTATTTGGGCTACAAAATGTTGGCCTGTACAAACATCTAGATATCTAAATAATGACAGCTAGATAATAAGATATCAGCATAATATAATAAGATATGGTGTAAAATT